CTGTCGTTATGTGTTAACACAGTACGTTTTCTATCAATACCAATGTATGTTGGTTACAGGCAAACTTATTCAAATAAAAGAAAATAGAAAACTTAAAAAACAAATCATGGTTCTGTCAATGAGTATGAACAAAACATCTATTTGTTTTTTATTCTAACCTGCGAGAAAATTCAATTAGGTAGAATTTGAAAATTGTATTCAAACATTATTCAAACGTTATTCAATGGAAATTTGAAAATGTTTTCTCAATCAATTAAAAAGATATAGGACAGTTATTTATTACATCAATGCAGAACACTATTCCTTCGGTTGTCATACACATATATATTTCAAGTGTCTGAAGGACTCTGAATGTCCAGTAAAATAGGGGGAAATGTCATCAAGCAATTCGGTAAATTATTCACATCCTCAGAGAAACTAAATGAAGTGGAACAGACGGCCGGTCGTTGTTCACTATTTTAAAAAGACAAAAAAAAAATGGTAAAACAAACATCAAAATTCAATCAAACCCACATTTTCATGACATATTTAATGAGTCTAGTAAATATGCTATTTATTTCTTAAACATTGTATTTGTTGTGGTTTGGCATGTACGCCAAACATAACTACATAAAGATATATCACAGATGAACAACCATACAAAGACCCCCTGCAAAGGCCATTTGATCCCTCCAAAAGTATAAAATAACTAAGTTTTAAAGAAATTCTAATAATTCAAACATAAACATGATAACTTTCATCTCTACAACGTTAAACAGCTTTCCAAATATTTTGAGGATTAGGTTGCTATTCGAAGTATCATTGACAGTTTCTCTCCAGTTCTAGTTTCTATGCGTTTTCTTGGTTACATTAAGAGGGTATGTTTTGTGTGAGAGTGATAAGTTACAGGGAAATGCAATGATGTATCAAATCTTTAACAATGACGTCATGAATACAAAGGCCATTAGTACACTGTATGGCAGTGATGTTAAACAAAGGTGGAAGCTAGTATCATTTCGTTTTTTGATAAATTAATCTTC